TTTATGTACATTTATAACGTTTAATGATTTTTTATCATTAATATTAAAAAACGGCAATAAATAATAAAAATATAAAAACTATAATTGTTCAACTAGTGGTAGCAAATAATACTTATAAAATTTATTCATTTTTTGAGATTGTTGACTCAACTATTAGAAATATTAGACCTCGTGTAGCTGATAAAAATAGTATAATTCTTGTGCTCAGGAGACTACACTGTTATTAGCACAGAGTATCAGGGTGAACTTTTAGGTGTATGAACATTTACAGTCTTCTTAAAAAGTAGAAAAAAAACTTACTCGTTTTCGAAAGTTACCAGAACCTCGTCTTCAAAGACATCGGTGACAAAGGCCTGAAAAAATGAAACAGAAAGTATATAAAGTCATTCGTTTAGGAATCAGAGGTGCAGCGAGTGGCGTAAGACATTCAGACATAATATCGCGATGCTTTCGGGGTACCCACGAGAGTAGCGTTTTTATAATTCCGTTATTAAGGAAATGCGTTTTCGTGAATCAGGAAAACGTTGAGATGAATCGCAACATCGAAAGCTGACGAAAATCACGCCCTGTCAAACGAGACATGGCGTCGGAGGAAGCCGCGTTACCTCGCGAACATTTGAGGACCGCGCTTTCGCGAAGTACGGGCGTCTCTTTTGTGAGATTAGAACCGCGCCACGGGTCGTGAGTTGGTCTATCCACGGCCTCAATCTTCCGCCCTGTTTTTTGTATACTTTTCACAGAACGAACCTTATAATATGCTCCGTTTTCGCCGCATACTTCGACTGTGAGATCCTCCATCTTGCTTTTGTGTGACGGCTCGCCTCCTTTGCAGCAGGCATGCTGGCGAGCGGGCAGCTGCACGAGTTCGAGGCTGCAAATTCGTTGTTCACCAATCGTACAACTCTTTTCCATGACGCAGTCTCTTTATTGGATGGACTCGTGCAGTGTTACCACTTTCGCATCGCTAATTTACGTTTAAAAGAACTAGGATAATTGAAATACGCACCAGCACATTCAGCACAGAATTGTGCACTTGTGTAACCGCTATTAGAAGTCAAATCATGACTTCGTGCCGCTTGCGATCCTGTGGCCGCTTCTACCTGGCCCTAGTATTCGCGATTTTGCGAAACGCGTGACGTGCCTTAACAGTACCGATGCGGACAAGAGTATTATTACCGATCACTCAGTGCAGACGACAATGTCTGGAAGCAGCGATTCTGAAGAATTTTTTGATGCGGAAGATGATACTTTCGACCACAGTGCACGGTAATTTTAATAATTCTCGCTTGTCAAACGATTCTGTTAAAAATCTTGAACAAAATTTTTTTTATATATTTTATACATTCGATAAAAAAATACTCTTGTATAGATTCCATAATTATCAGGATACTGCTTATGAACAATATCTATTATAAAATTCGACTCGCAATTTGCATTTTGTTTAATTCATTGTATTCCGTTCGAAATTTGTATGCGTATAAAAGTTTGTTTCACGTCGCGTTTTTTGTCTGAATTTTCTTTTCGTATCGTGTTTTTAACTAATTATTTTTGGTTAGGTCTGAATTTGAGTACTTAAATCAGTCGTTCATATGAGTGTATGCAGTTATTTCAGGGCTGATGTTTGCAAGTATTCTAGAGCTCCAATTGTTAACAGTAATAGTTCCAGAAATTTAAAAAAAAAAAATTTTCTAGTATACATTTGAAGAATTACTGATCTATTTAGTGAATAATCCTCTTGATACAGTCACACTTTATGAGTTCAGTTTTAATGAGTGTTTTAATTTACATATTTTATTTGTTTTAAATACAAGCTTGTAATAAGTTCTGATATAAAATTATAGATATTTTTGTCTTTTTTATATTGTTTAAATGTAAATATAAATAGCTTTATGTTAATAAAGTAGTAATTTAAAAATGAATTTAGCAATTTGCTAAAGTAATATAAATCTTGTTTCATATTATAAAAATTGTTTTTGTTCTAATAAAATGTTTGATTTTTATAGGAAAAATAAACAGCGTGATTCTACCAACATTGAAATACAAAATAAGGACACATCAGAATTTTCCAAAAAAGCAGATGATGATGTTTTTGTGAAACCTGCTCAACCTAAGCCAATTGTAGAACCAAAGGAATATGTACCTATAGAATTTATACTTAGTAAAGATAAATCTGTAAGTACTTGTTAACATTACATTATTATATAGGTAATATTGCATCAGCTTTTAATTAAAAAAAAATACTTATTTGAATAGGAAGAAGATGCAAAAGAATCAAGTACAGATAAAATTGTTGGAAAAAGGAGATTTCGTGAACTTAGGCAACGTATGCAAACAGAGGATGATGATATCCCAATTAACAGTTCCCCTCCAGATAGTCAAACATCATCCATTGAGGGTGTTTATCCTACTCCTTCAAAGACAACACATCCATTTAGGATCATAGAACATGATACTCTTAGTTTACAAAGTATGACATCTTTAGGGCGAGTGGGTCGAATTTTAGCTGGAAGTGGGGAAAGTACATCTGCTCCAATTGCATCAAATGTAACTCAGTGTCCCTCTTCTGCGATCCTTACCCGCGAAAGCCAGATGTCCTCCGTTGCTAGTATTCCAAGCAAAGATGAGGACACAGCATCTGGTAAGGTGTCCCAGTCCTCCAGCATCCTTACGTTATCAGGGGATCTCCTTCAGGAGTCCTCTATTAACAGTAGGTCCAGTTACACTTCTCACTCACAAAATGATAAGACTATTATGCTTCAAGAACCTGATGTCATCGCTAGTACTAAGAATAATGGAAAGTCGAATGAAGACGTTACCGTGGCCGGTATACCTATCGCACCACCAAGACGTAAAAAAAAGTCTAAAGCTCAAACGCCTACTGATCTTGCTGTACGACATTTATTACTTAATATAATGTTCTTATAACGTAAAAAATATTTATCAAAATTACTAAAACATTATTCTATCAGACAAGTAAATGTAAATTTATCATTTTAGCCTTCTACAGTAGAATTAACATTACCGGCTTCACCACTACCAAGCCCAGCAAGTACTATTGAATCCATTACTAGAGAATTTGAGCATTCTCTTGATATTCGATCTGCAACAAAGGGACAATATGTTGTTAAACCACAAGTTCGTAATATTACATACTTACATTAATATATTTTCTAAATTGTTCTAAATTAAATTGTTTATTGTTTTTTATGTTTATATGTAGGATGAAGATAAGTCAAAAGCAGAAGGTCCATCATCTGAAGAATTGGAAAGGGTAGAAAAAATGAAAGCTGAATTAATGAGTGTTAGGTCGAGCGAGAAATCCAGTAGTCCATTAGGATCCATGTCCAGTAACAGTATTGGCCGTTATTCTTTAGGTCCCCATAAACTGACTGGTTTAAGTCCGCAAGGATCAAAAGAAAGACGAAAATCAGCAGGGGATCAAGATATGGTTCAACAGTTAAATATGTTTGTAAGAACCAGAACAGATTCTGGGAAACGTCTAACAGATATGGTATGTCACTGATTAAAACCATAAGGATATCGTTTCTTTATGTTTATGTGTTAATAGCAGTATATAAATTATTTTTAGGAGATTTTGGAACAGGTGACTGTTCTAAACCTAGATACTGGAGAAAGAGTACCATTAAGTATAGCAGAAGATAAACTACCACAGTGTATCAATCCTTTGTCACTTCATATTATGAGACTTACTTCAGAATATATAAGTAATTCTAGTCTAGAGAAAGAAAAAGAAAGTGACGAGGAAAGTGTTGATAGTAAAATGTCTAGTATACCACCCGATGAAGACGTATCCGTTGGTAGAGTTCGAAAGAAAACTCAAAAACTAAAACGATTCTTAGGATCTACCGTTAAAAAGACGATGGATAAAGCAAAATCTATTGCACAAGAAGTATCTCATGCAAGACACAAGGAAGATGTCATGGATATAGTAGATGAAGTTTATCCTGGTGAACAGCAATATATTAAACTAAAAGCGTCCAATAGTCACAAAGGACCATATGAATTTAGTTGTTTACAACATGTTCAAGACTTGAGTGGTGAACATGTGGGTCCTGTTTGGTGTATGAAATTTTCCGCTTGCGGACGATTACTTGCCACTGCAGGACAAGATCGAGTTTTAAGAATTTGGGTTCTTCGTGATGCTTTTACGTATTTTCAAGACATGCGAGCTAAATACAATGCCGAAAAAGTTAGTCCAACTCCTTCCCAAGAATCCTTGGTTTCACAACAATCTATGGAAGATCCCAACGTCGTGGCTAGTGCCTTCAGTGAAATAGAAGGAACGAAAAGCCCTTTTATGCCAAAGCCATTTTGCACTTACACCGGACATACGTCGGATTTATTGGACGTTTCCTGGTCTAAAAATTATTTTGTCCTATCATCGTCAATGGATAAGACTGTGCGACTTTGGCATATATCGCGAAAGGAATGCTTATGTTGTTTTCAACACATCGATTTTGTTACAGCAATAGTATTTCATCCTCGCGATGATCGTTATTTTCTCTCGGGATCTTTGGATGGTAAACTTCGACTGTGGAATATTCCAGACAAAAAGGTAGCTGTATGGAATGAAGTCGATGGGCAAACTAAATTAATTACCGCTGCAAATTTTTGTCAAAATGGAAAATTCGCAGTGGTAGGTTCTTACGATGGTCGATGTATATTTTATAACACGGATCAGTTGAAGTATCATACGCAAATACACGTTCGATCGACAAGAGGTAAAAATTCAACGGGAAGAAAAATTAGCGGTATCGAACCTATGCCTGGTGAAGATAAAATTTTAGTTACTTCGAACGATAGCCGTATACGCTTGTATGACTTACGTGATTTAAATTTATCATGCAAATACAAAGGTTATGTTAATGTCAGTAGTCAAATTAAAGCAAGTTTCAGTCCTGACGGGCAATATA